TCTAAAATATGATCGAATAGCGCGTTACCTGAAACCATGATCTCAAACAGGAAACGTGGAAGATGTGGTTGCAAGGTAGTTTTTTTGCGCCGGTTGTCATCTCTTCACGACAAATGATGCAGACATTGTCTGACTGCTGCAATTCCTCGAGAGTGGCATCAGGATATAGAGTATTCATGTAGCGGATTGCTCGACGTGACAAAATAACGTCACTTACCGCCTTTTTCATTGATCTGTACATAGCTGATTTAGATAATTAAACAACAGCTACAAACCTACTTCAGAGCAAGGTACATGGGACGAATAGAGAACAGCGGAAAGGTATGCAGATTCATCATAACCGCAATGAACACTGAATAAAGGATCACCCGGCAGCATTCTAAAAGCTGAATTGGTTAAAGAGAATGCACCACGCCGAAGAAAGATGCATACCAATCACTAGTTCACAATAAAGCAAATAACCGGCTTTGTTCTCCCATGGATGCACATTTCTCAAATCGATCGAATGCAGAATGTACTTTATGGAAATGTGGAAAACAACCGTCAGTAGAATGGCGTACTAAAAATAAATTTTAAAAAGTTTCTTATTGCAATACTAACAAATACATAACATTACCAACAGAATAAAACTTGTCAACAACTCGAAAACTACCTATATTTAAAGGAGAAATGGCTAAGAAATGGTGGCATCTGAAAAGTTACTGGTTTAATAAAACTGTAAACGTTCCTTTTCACAATTAAAACGTATATAATTTGATCCAGAGAATCCGGCACCAAATTGATGAATGTTTCAAATTAATCCCATTAACAGTGTGAACGTTGTTTTGAGGACGAACGACGGATTATTGTAAAATATAAAATTATATTATTAAACTACCCTCACTTGCATCATGGACTCCGCAAATCTCCTACCAGTTCTGTGTCTAATATGCAGATTTACCATGTCCCACCACTTGAAATAATGTCTCATTTATATTAACTAACGCTCGCAATAGGATTTTGTTCTCCTTTCGTCGATTCTAAGATTATTCCAAATGACCGTGAATGTTACGAAACTCTTAAAAGTGACCAGCCCGTGGTTACCGACAATCCTCAGCGTCTTACAGTGGCCCACTGAACTTGAACCCCAACACTTTCAGGTTCAGCCACCGTCTTAGTTGTAGTTTCTCTCGACGACTTCCATGAGCTAGCGAAAGTTTTCTCTTAGTCATCAAGGCCATGCGCACCTCGCAGTTCTTCTTCCAAAGTCAGCATCTTTACAGCAGCTGCAAAACAATTTTATTTATGTGAATGTAGAACAATCCCGGATTTTTGCATAGCAGAAAACCAGCCGTCAATCCTAATGTAAAAAGCCATGCAAGCGACGGAATCCTTCAGCTTCATCATACTGAAATGGGCGCTGCATCTATCTAAGTTTCTGGGAAAATTGCTACCAATGCAAATGGGGAATACTGTGGCCACTACGAAATAATCAGTTACTCAATATCAGCAACAGCCGTGTTCTAGACGGACAGTTCACCACTAGTTTCTCACGATCTAGCCAACGAGGTAGCAACTGAAGTTACTAGCTCATTATGAATAGGTATGTCAACTGTATGGAACGAGGGAGAAACAGTCACTCGCTTATTACGAGGGACAGAGTGGCGAGAAGATCTTACAGACACCCGTTGTTACTGGCCATACTGCTATCATGTTCAATTAGCATGAAGAGGCTGTCGTGAGTAGCTACAACTTAGGCTAAGCTCACTTACAAGAATGCCGGGAGGCGTTTGGCAAAGGAACCAAGAACTACGTGAAGACAGGAGTAGAACTGGTTCAATTTCAAGTCGTCTACATTACTGAGAGACGCAGAAATATAATTCA